ACAGGAAACCCCTGGCTCCAGGCCACCCAGAACAACTCCAAGCCAAATCCTGTCCCTCCCCTCTGGGAACAAACAAAAGTGGCCTCTCCTCTCCTTCTGTCAGCTGAAAAAGCCCACTGGGCACTCACTACTCTTCAGAGATGGCCACAGAAGGGGACCCTGTCTTTTCAAGCCGGAAGTCTTCCTCTATTCTGGCCCTGAGTCTATCTTCTGGTGGACAGGCACTGCTACCCTGGAAAAGTGGAAGTCTTCCTGTATTCTGGCCCTGAGTCTATCTTTTGGTGGACAGACACTGCTACCCTGGAAAAGTTGCTCAACCAGGATTATAGCCCCGGGAGGTTAGCAGTTCAGGGATCAGGGATGCCTGATAAAGGTGACTGCCTTCAGAGGCCACCTTAGCAGGAACCAATCAAACATTCCTGCATACTATTGCCTCCTTCCCTGACGGTCTTAACCTCCAAGAGGCCAGGGTCCTGGTCATTTAGTGCACTCTCAAGCTCATGGAGACCTACGTGTCACAAGTGCCCCACCCCGGGTGAAAATGCTGAGGCAAATGGCCAAGAAAGGGAGCAAGCTGGAGCATGTAAGAGGCGGAGGCCAAGGTCGCCCCCGCTTGGACTGAATCCGGAATCCCAGCGGATCCCAGACCTGGTCCAACGGTCTGGGCAGAGGTCGGAGTGAGGACTGGGGTCACTCACTACTCCGGGCCACACTACTGGGCCCATGTGCAGGCTAGGAGGCAGCCACAGGGTGAGGCGGAGATGCCGGGACCCAGAGGCGTCCAGTCCCAGGCGTCCGACTTCGTTGGATCCCGCCCCAAATAGTGCCACTGAAGAAGGGCGATGAGTCGAACATGCGGCTGACCAGGAGGGTGCTCCTGGCCCCGGCAGACCAGGACTTTGCATACCTCGCCCAGTGTCTATTGGCCGCTTCTGAACCCACCCGACGCCACCGCCTCTCCAGGATCCCAGGTGGCCTCCCTTGCTGGGCGCAGCCCCACCTTCGAGCCTCCGGCCGCACCCGCGTGGGCAGCGTGGCGAGCTTAGCTACCGGCCGGCCGCGCATCCCAAAACCGTAGCTGCGCACCCGGATCCGTGTACACTACGGGGTGTGGTTCTGAGCCAGGGGACTGGAGACGAAGGCGGACGGCGGGTGGATACTCACCGAAGTACACGGTCTTGTCACACTTGGGACACTTGGAGGCCATGGTCGGTGCGCTCGATCGGTCCGCGCCCTCCACCCGCGCTGGTCTCTGCGCCGCCGCCCGCGCCTGCCCCGCCCGCCCCCGGACGTCCATTGGCTCCGAGACCCGGGCGGGGCCTCGGGAGCCCGCCCCCCGGGACGCCAGCAGCTGGGCGCACGGCAGGCGGGGCGCACCTGCCAGGGTCGGAGGGGCAGGGCCTGGCGCCCCCTACCCCACAGTGTGGTGGCCTCTACGGGGACCGCCCGGGTTTTCCATGGCAACATCGTGGCCTCTAGCTGGAGAGCAGACTTGGGGTCCCCAGCTCCAGTCCCCGACGCCCCGGCTGGCTCGTGGCAGGAGGGGGCGCGAGAAGCCCGCGGGACGCCCCCCCCCCCACCGCCTCCCGCCTCCCGGCGCCGCCTCCCTTTGTTGCCTCGTTTCTATAGCAACGGCCTCGCTGCACAGAAGCACGAAGCATCGGATTCCGGGCGGGGCGCCGCGGTCCTGTCTGTGGTGCTGAAGGAGGGGCGGGCGAGGCTCACTAGTAAGCGCCGCCACTTCCAAAAACAGCCTGAGAAACCACTGGGATGAGTGGGGGCGGGGTGGAGACAGCCAGTGCAGGCTCCGAGGGGGCTGCAGGTGCACTTGCGCCCAAAGAGTCCTCCCCAGTTCTATCCTTGGAGGAGTGGGGTGCCAGGGAGTTTCCTCTGCATCAAGTGTTGAGAGCTAACACCCTCGTCTGTGAGCGCCCCCAGCCCATGACTGCTGCCGGTCTTCCTCAGGCCAGGGTCGCTGACTCCCGGAATTCTGGCCCCAGTGCATTTCGTAGGACAGCAGAGCCAGAAATCCTGCCAGCCAGATCCTGTCTTCCACCTTGCTAGTCCTCAGGAACAATCCCCCACCCCACCCCACCCCACCCCCGACCCCGTCCCATTTCTCCTTCCCACTAGGGGCTTGCTTAGCCCTCCTACTTCTTGACCCCATCCTGGAACTCCTGAAGATATGGACCAAAGAGAGGACCCAGGGACCCACAGACCTCTCTCTGAGCCTCTTGACCAAATCTGGGCCTTGGGTGTGGGAAACGAACACCCTACATGTCCCAGACCCTGATGACCGGACCCAGTATGAGCAACTGACTCCAGAACCACCACTCCCACCCTGTCTTCACAGCTGTGCTGGACACCCATATTTCATTTCTCTGCCCAGCCCAAGGACTGGGAGTCAAGAGGTTCCAGGTGCCAGGCATGTTGGTGATCCCCGGCCTACTAACAAGGCTCCATGTGGTGGCCCCTCCCCCTTCCTTGCACACATATCCTGCTGCTACTACCATTTCCATGGTGACAAGAGCCCAGAGAAACATGTGCCGCCCCCTCCAAGCCTGACCGACCAGCCTGACCAGCTCCCCCTGGGCACCTCTGGACACCTGCCAGTCAAGGCGAGAGGCAGGTAAGGTGGCCTCCAGTGCCCTCCTGGACAGGGTCCCTTCATTCATAGCTAGGTTCCTGTTCAGGCTGGATTCATAGGTGCCCTGACTCCCAACCCAGGTGTCCATTACTGTGCTCTCGACAGACAGCTCCCCATCTTAGGAGTCCTGGGGACCCTAGCTTCCAGCCTGCTTGACCACCTACCACTAACATTTGTAGTGAAAGACGGCTAAGTGAGCTAGGCTCAAGCAGTCTTCTGAAAAGGCCTCGAGGGTACCCAGGCCTGATGAAAGAGTAGGCAGGGACAGGGCCCCTCCAAGCGGAGGTGGCAGCAGAACGGCACCGAATACTGGCTTGACGCCCAGGGTGAGAAGGGGATCAGCAGGGTGGGGTAAGAGAGCTTAATTGCCGCTGCTGCTCTACCCACTCTCCTGTGGTCCCCACGCAGTGATGGAGGGCTATGGGGCTGTCCTGGGCCTGGCGGGAAGGCACATGGGCCAGTGACAGAACAGTGGCCTTGGCCTGCGCATCTGAGGCTATGGAAGGCAAAAGCGCAGTAACAGGACAGCATGGGCAGGGACAGAAAGGCATCTCTGGACACAGACCAGCCAAAGGAAGAGGTAGGTAGGGGGTTCCACAGTACCTTCCTGGATATGACCCCTTCATTCACAGCCGGGCTCTGTTCAGGCTAGATTCATAGGTGCCCCAGCTCCCAACCGAATCAACCTTTACTGTACCCTCTCATCATGCATAAAGTATGGAAGATGGCAGGGGGAGGAGCAGGTCACGTCTCTACAGTCTCAGCAAGATAAAAAAAATATTTGGAACTATATTTTCATGTGTCCCACCCTTAGAGCAGGGTCACAGATCTACTGTAGGAAACCCATGGCTGAGCCGAGTCACAGTGAGGCCCGAGGCACGGCAAGGCCTGGGATAAAGGCTCTGAGCTGTGACTTGGGCAGGTATGCAGGCTGTTTCCACATCAGGTCTTCAAGTCAGTACCAGTCCCTTGGGTCATGAGTGTCTGGCCCTCACAGAATGTCCCCTGCCCATTTTCTTCATCAAAAAGGGCTTCCGGATAGAACAGAGTACTTTCCTGGGCCCATCAGCCACCAGCCTGTGTTCACTTCCCATTCTTTGCCTTGGCTTTGATCTCCAAGCAGCCAGAGGTAGACACATAGCCCAAGACACATGGTTTTGTTTCTATAGTGGCCACTGGAGCTGAGGTACTGAGGCACGTCAAGAATACCAGGATGGCACTGGGAACTCTTAGAGGGCCCTCTTGGCCAGGACCTAGGGATGTCTCATTACCCAGCATGACTCCTGAAAAGGACAGCCCTTAGAAGAAGACCCTGTGCCTGAGGACAGGGAGCCAGTTCAGAAGAGGCTTCATCTGCACCTTGCTTGAGCCGACAGTCATGCTCCCTGCAGACTCCCACATGGGAGAGGACTCCAAGGAAGCCCTTGAAGACTGGGCAGTCCTAGAGCAGTAGAGGACAAGGTGGAAGCCAGCACCAGCTGGGGGAAGCAGCTTAATGACCCTAGGAAGATGGGGTATGTCACAGCCCTATCCCAGACACCTGGCCTGTCACCCTGATAAGCCCCATCACAAGCCCAGGAAAGCCAAGATACCCCCTTATCTGTACCCAGAGTGGGAACATAAGTGGTTTCTATTTTAACCCCCCATCTGAGATTTCCACATAACACAGGCGCCTGCCTGAGTAGGGCAGAAGCAGGAGGCAGAGGCCAAATATGCCCAGTGTTCCCAGGGAGGGGCTGGCTGACCCTTTTCTTGGCCAACTGAGGGGCAGAAGCCTGAGGGACGATGGTCCGTAGCCATCCCTCCTTCCTCCGGGAGCTGGCCAGGCCTGCACCTGTCTCTAGGCCTGCAAGGATAGGCACAGGCAGAGATAAGGTTTCTGGGCAGAAATATGAGCAAATACTTGAGGAAAGCACGCCTGCTAGGGTAGCCCAGCCGGGCCGAGCCAGAAGGCCTGACAGCTGGGGCAAGGGGTCAGCGCACAGGCGGTGGCCCTGGACCCGAAGCTTTTGTGCTAAGTCAATCTAAGTGAACCTTGGTTGGAAAAAGATGTGGGGCCTCAGGTAGGGTCAGCTCTCACTGTGGCACAGCTTCATCTAAAGTGGAGGTCCTCACCCATGGCCAGCCCCTCACTGCCCCCCTGGGGAGGGTAGCAGGCACTGGGCCAAAGGCCTGCAGAAATAGGTCTCGGAGTGGTACACTCCACAGCCTGAGTAACCTCAGCACTGAGCTGGGCAGCATCTGGCCTGCCCTGTGGCACCTGCCCATCTTCCTGGGCTTGGCCATGTACCTGATATATTCCAGGTGTTGGGGCAGGAGAGAGACTGGGAACAAAGGACGCAGAAGGGCTTGCTGGGGTTTTCCTTTTTATGAGATTTTTTTCTTTGTTTTTGTTTAATATGAAAATTACTTGAAAAGACAAGGGACCAACCCCGCCAGGCAGCTTGGCCGCTGCTGGCCGCACCAATCCTAACATTCCAGGTGTAAGTTACAGAGCTCAAGTTCATCTACAAAAAAAGTAATAAAAATAAAATTTAAAATGGCACCTTCAACAGAACACAACAAACCTTAGAACCCACCCCGGGTGAGAAGCCCTGTGCAGGGCCCGGCGTTCCTCATCTCTGCTCCAGCCAGAAAGTAAACACAAAGCTAAAAAAGACTCCTCGGTGTCTTGGAATAAGTTAGACCACACTTCTTCCCCCGCATGTCCACCAGAGGAGCAGTGTCTCTGCATGTGAGGGCGGGACTTGGGGCGCTATGGAAACAGAGGGTGGGGTGGGCAGCAGTCTGGTGGGGGAGGGAGGCCGCTTGGCCTCTGCAGGCCTCACTGGATACTCTGGGGCTGATGGAGGGGCCCAGGCAGGCCACACTGTGGGTGGCCGCCTAGTCCTCAATAACAATGGGCTCATCGTTGACTGGTGCAGGTGGGGGTGGCCGCAGCGGCAAGGCCTGGCTCTGGCGCAGGGCAATGGGCTTGTAGGGCCGGCGGGCAGCACGCTTGGTTTCTGAGGATGAGAGCAGCTTGCGGATTTTCCTGTGGGAAGAGGTGAGCCAGTAAAAACCAGAAGGTGGTAGCTGAAGACTCCCATCCCGTCCCAGGAAAGGCTCCAACCTGGTCTCCTCAGTGGCCATGTAAAATACGTCGTCTGGGGCGTCAATCCAGTTCATTCTCCGCCGCTTGACAGGAGGCAGGGAGCCGCCACGGATCAGCCGCACTTTGGTGGGGTAGGACTTCCCATTGAGCAGGAGGTTCCGACTCGGTCCCTGTAGTGAACAAGAGGTAGGTATGAACACGGAGACAGTGCCCTGGCCTCACTTTACAACCCTCAGACCAAGCGCCCAACTTCCTGGGCAGCCAGGCCTCAAGGTTCCATAGCAACACACCCCGCCCAGGTAGGGAGCTCCTGGAGGGCTGCTCAGGCCTGAATGTACTGGGCCTAGGCTACCTGTTAGGTCTGGCCAGGACTCCCAGATACTCTCTCCCTGGCACTGGTTCGGGAGTAGGGGCTACCTGGGCCAATTCCCCAACACCCGAGGGATGTGAACACACACAGTCACCCACTCTTACCATGTGCCTGGTCTGTCCATGGTTTGCCAGACCTGATGAAAAAGAACACCAAGTAAGGCCAGAGCAGGGAAGCACACTCAGCACCCACACTGCTCGCCTTAGAATGGAGGTGGGGGATGATCCCTCCTGAGGCCACCCCCTCCAGCCAAAGCCCACACCCAAGTGGCCTGTTCTCAGCTAGCCCAGATGGTCCCATAGCTCTGCTAACCCTGAGAGCCACCTACATCCTGACCAGCAGAAGATGTAGCAGTTTGGCAGTTTGGGCTCCAGGTAGGAGGACAGAGGTCTCAGATCTGATATTTGCTTCTTTGAAGGTGTGAGATGACTACCCCTTCGCCCTGCACGCCCCCAACTAGGCCAAGACAGGTGAGGTCTAGTCAAGCAACAGCCTGCAGGGCTGTATGTACATCATCATCCCTATTCACTCTTGGGGCAGCCATTGTCTGCCAGTTGCTCACATGCTAAAAGCAGTTACCCTGACTACAATAGCATGCTTGTAGGCTGCAGGTCTAAAAGGGAACTGAGATGTCAACAGGATGAAACTAAGAGGCAAAATCTAGGCTCTGTCAGCCCACCCCAGCAGGAGTCCCAGCTGGGTCCACCTCAGGAATCGTTGCCTCCTGGGTCTGCTGGCATGTGTAAGCATGTGTGCCAAACAGGTCTCTGAATGGCCTGGCCCCAAGCGGGGGACAAGATAGCACTCCTCTACCATGCCTAGCCAGTGCCACTGGACCCCTTGGCAATCTGTCAATCATCAGACACTTCCCATCAGAGATCTCCCTCTTTTATATTTTGAGACAAAGTCTTAACCTGTATCTCAGCTACCTGGAACCAGAGATCCTATCTTCGGCCTCCCAAGGGTGGGGATTACAGGGTGGCCCATCTCTTAAGAAGAGCTCTGAAGAGCCTGTCCCACCTCCTCCACTTGCAACTCGACCCTGTTCTGGCGTCCTGGATCCAGCCTTCCCCTGCAAGCTCATTTAGTTCTCAGGGGCCCCAATTTCCCGGTCTGCAGCACCCAGGCAGGGGTGACCTGTTCACGGCACCTGTTGGGACCCCAACCCGGGGCCCACACAAAGCCCTATCACAAGTGCTACTTACCCAGGTAAGTGCCTGCCAGAGTGATGAGGTGGCAGAGAGAGAAGATACACACTAGAGTTAGAGTAGCCGCATGCACATGGCAGCTAAGCCGCAGGGCAGAGCAGCAGGCAGCATGGGGCAGGGGTTAGTGAGTTAAGAACCTAGGGTGCCAGGGGCCAACGCCTTGCCCAGAGTTCCCATCTGCCCTGCTTATGCAAGGCCCACTCCTGAGGCCTACCACAGCAGCACTACAAGGTGGGGCTGTCTCCAGGCAGCCAGCCCATGGCTCCTAGGCTAAATCTAGTACTGAGACCTGGTTTTACAATTTCAGGACAGCCATTTCTCTTGTGGCTAGACCCTCTGACACGGGGACTGAGCTGCCTAGACCACCTGCAGGGCCAGTGAGTTCCCACCATGTCCTGGTTGGGTCCCCATTGCAGAACACACCTCGGTCTGCATGACAGACTGAGAAATTGAGTGAAGTAAACAGCTCTATAAGGCCAGAAGCAAGGTCTGGGGAGGCTATGCCTGGACCCTGGAGTGAGGTGCAGGTAACATCAGCCAGACAAAAGGGATATGCCTGCCTGGGTGCCTAACAGTTGGCAAGCTTCCAAAACAGCCTCGAGGGGGAGTGTCCTGAGGGAATAAGGTACAATTGGATGGTCACTGCCCACTGCTACCTCCTGGGCTCGTCCTGACGGCATAGGGGCCTGAGCAGGCTCATGCTGGCTGGCTGGTGTTTCCTGGCTACCCATAGGTCCAGCCTTAAACACTAACCCCCACACTGACATCAGACTTGGTGCTCGACCTCATGTCCAGAGCAGGCTCGTGCCCTACAGTCCTTACCTCATCAGGAGAATCTGAGCTAGTCCTTAGCAGATACAAAGACCATATGTAAGCCCAGTCACCAGCCCATCCTACTGTCCCCATCAAGCAGGGCACACAAAAACTGCAGGTAGCACTAGCGGCCCTACAAGCAAGGCTGAAGGCATGCGAGCAGGCACAGCGCGACAGCAGTGGGGGCGCCAGGGCCCTCGTGCAAAGACAGTCCACTCACGGCTCAGGCCGAGGGGGCCGAGGCCAGAGACCCAGGCTCATGGGCCTTCTACCAAGTTACAAGTCTACAAGAGCATAGGAGTATGGACTGTGGCCTGGGTCTGTGTGGACTGCCCCTGTACGTGCCCCGAACCTCCCAGTCTGCTAGTAGACAGCACACACAGGCATCACGACAGGACTCGGCCACGGCACCCCACCAGCGGCCGCCCCAGGCCTTACCCCTACTGGGCATCAAGAGGCGCTTCTTCATGTTGCCTGGCAGTGCCCAGGGACAGGAGAGAGAGGGAGAGAAAACACCATCAACTAAGAGAGCCAGTTGAATAAGGGTCATGTGGAGCTCCAGGGCTAGCCCCACCGCCCTCTGTAGGCCTGACCACCTCACAGGGCCAGCCCTGCAGCTCAGACTCACCATCCACCCCATTGTGCTGCTCGTAGCTCCTCTTGCCCAGGATGGTGGGGGAGCCATTGTTGATAACGGGGGCTGACTTGGCAGGGGTCAGACTGCTGAGCACACTGGATGAACTCTTCACAGGGTCAGGCTTAGGGGGGCGGGGATGGGTCTCTGTGGAAATGTAAGAGTCAAGGGTATGATTCAGAAACTGCAGTACAAGAGGCTCCACGCAGTAATATCTTCCCACCCTGAAACCCCACTGACTAGGCTGGAAGAAAACAGTCACTATCTACCAGAGCTCACTGAAGCTGGGGAGAAATAGCCAGAGGGCTCCCTAGGATATCTTCAGGACAGCCAAGTAGAGCCCAGCCTGCTGCCTTGGACAGGATAGCTGGGTAAGTGCTAAGAGCTTACAAGATCCAGACACAGCCCATAAACACAGTAGTCCCATCAGACAGCCTCCACATCCAGGCCACCAGGTCTGATGGCAGAAGACTGGCTACTGGCCAGACACTGAGCTGCCTGGCCGGCCTGAGCAAGGACCCGCCCCACAGAAGGTGGATCCTGGCACTGTCACATCCTCCTGGGGAACAAGAGCAAGGCTGGCTGGCCCTGGGGCCCAGGACCCCGGACAGGGAACAAAGCCAAAGACACTTGTGTCTGCAATGCACACACTTAGCTCATGGTTCTGGAATGTCCTTTCTAGAAGGACTGCTACCTCCATGCTGGAGGATTGACTCAAGCCCACTTAAACACTGCAAACAAGTGAACGCAAGTATCTGGTTCAACCTCAGAATGTGCCATTTCTAAATGGCCAGTAGCACTGCCTAGAGATCTCAACAGTGCCCAGACCAACACAAACAAGGAACCATCCCCGCAAGGCTGCTAGCCAGATGAGCACCTTGGCCACCAAGGGCTCACAAAGGCCTGCAATGCTGTCTTATAGTTGGGGAGAGGCCTCTCTGCAGGTGGCAGGTGTCCACCCTGCCTTGGAAGACTTGCAGGTTGGGTTACACCTGACATAAACCCTAGTCAGAAGTCAGGTGCAATGGTGCACACCTTTAATCCTAATACTTGAGAAACAGAGGCAGGAGGATCTCTGTGAATTGGAGACCAGCCTGGTCTACAGAGTGAGTTCTAGGACAGCCAGGGCTAAACAGAGAAACCCTGTCTCTAACAGGACACAGGGCCACTTACTGGGTATTCCAGTGAGGTTAGAGTCAAAGAGCCTGGGGCTCAGGACCAAAGAGGGACAGGAAGCAGCACTAAGCCTGGGTATTGCTAAGCCTGGCACAGGGCGACCTTGGCCAAAGGGTAGTTGTGGTGATCGTGCAGTGTTTCCTAGACGGCTGCTAGGATTAGAGTTAGAAGGCCATGTCCCCCCCTCCAGCTTACCAAGGTACCGGAGCACAGCCTCCAGGGGCTTCCGCACTACCTGCTTCAGCACCAGTGGGCTCTGGGAAGCTTCAGGCAGCCGTGCTGTGCCTACAGGAGGGCGAGGTTGGGTGAAGGGCTGTGTTCCCCAAGAGTCAGGGCCCTTACCTTTACCCCAACCTGGACACTGCCTAGGTGTGGCTCCTGCCGGCCCCAAGAAAGGGAACAAAGAATGACTCACATTCAGCCTTGATTGCTGCGCTGTTGATGGGCATGTAGGGGTGGCGTGCGGCATGCCATGGGCGTAGGATCTCACGGCACAAGCGCCGGGCAATGCGTGTCAACTTGGTAGTGTGCAGGTAGAAGGCCTGCCTTGTCTTCATGGCAAATTTGGGGCTCCCACTGCTCCGGGCTGGGATGCCATGGGGACTCTGTGGAATGGGGCACACCACCCCAACACAGCACCGTGACCGGAGGCCAAGGACCTGAGGCCTACATGCAGCAGGTGATAGGTATGGCATGTCCCACTTACCATGTTATTGCGGTTTGGTCCCGGCCTCTCTCCATCTAACCGGGTTGGCATTTTCAAGCCACCATATTTCTTCCAATATGTCCAACAAGATGCGCAGAGGCGACACTGCATGTTAGGGGGACCCCAAGAATACCACTGGTAAGACTGTGTGGCTACGGACAACAAAGTTGGAAATAGACGGATTCTTAAGCAGAACCAACGGTGCAGAGAGCATCCCACAGTGTCCCCACCGCCACCACAGCCACCCACCCACTGGCCCAGGGCCAACGTAGGTCCACCCCACCACCACGGCAGCCCCATCATGGTGAGTCACTCCAGGTCTGGGCACACGGGCCTTTAGGGGCCCCGTGAGCACCACAGCCACGCAGTAGCATTCCCGTGGCCCCTGCTGCCCAGGGTGGGTGCCAGGTACAGCACTTACTGTAACAGCTCTCGCAGGCCCGGCCGGCCCCGGGGCTCTGGCCTGGTGTCCCTGTGCCATTCACTACACTGGCCTTGACACTGTTGACGCTGATCTGGTTTGGATTTGGCTTGTTACTGATGGAGGAGAAGGATCAGTCACAGGTGCTCTGGGGTGTCTGTATCCCAACAGACATCCCTGTACCCCTGGTCCCTTGTGTTATGGCTGCCATACTCCATGCCCCAATATGCTGAGCACTAAACCCAGCTTGACTCCTGGGCCAAAAGAAGTTGAAGCCTGATCCCTCCTCCCCAGCTAAGCAAGCTCATGAAGAGGGTGACAGAGGTTCCTTGACTTAGCTCAGGAAGCCGCCTGACCCCAATGGATCCTAAGAGTCCCATACCCACTGCCCATCCACTACTGGCCCCCAGGAACATAAGAATGAACTTACTAGTTGGGAATATAAACCTGCTTTAACTTGCTCTCTGCTTCAGCTGCTTTCAAACGTTTCTTAAAACAAAACAGAGGGTTAGGGAGGTCACCAGACTGGCCAGGGCAGCTGGGAGACCACAGGGGACACCATTGTTTCTCCATCACTGGCTCCCTTGGGAAAGACTTGTGAAAATTTTGCATGGCCAGGAAGTGAGGGTGTCTGTCAGGCTGGCTAGGGTTCAGGAATGTCCCTTCCGCCCAGTCTCTGAGTCCTCGAGTGACCATGGCTCTTTCCTCTTTGCTCCAGGCTTAGGGAAGGTATAAACAAATTAATGTGACTATCTGGGGACTGTGGGGGAAGGATGAGGCAGGTGTGGTATGGGGGGTGGGACGGCCCACCTGCTGGACGTATCTGTCGGTGGTCTTCCACATGTAGTAGTATTCAATGATGCTGGTGAGCGATTTCCACGGGAGCTGGGGTGAGAAGGCAACATCAGGGGTGGCAGGAACAGGACTACTGCCCAGACAGGCTGGGGACAGGGTGCAGAGGCAGGGGCAGTGCTGGGATGGCAATTCTGGTCCCCCACTAACAGCACAAGTCCCGCTCCCCCACTGTGTTAATGTGTGGCTGACCTTCCCTGAAAACCCACGCTAGAACAATTACCACTATGTCCAAGAACCTGAGTGAGGTGACAGCAGCTTTGCTGTCCTTACTGAGGATCAGAGACCTTGTCCTGCCCTTCCGCCTCCCACCACGACCATGGACCTCTCAGCCTCCAGAACCAGACTGATGAATTTGTTCTGAATGACCCATTCTCAGGGGCTTTGCTCTAGCAGCCAAAGAGGGCCCAAGACAGGACGAGCAGCTCCCTGTACCGTCCACACCTCAGCGCTGCACCTCACCTGGGCTGGAAAGGCATCTTTGCTGCTTCTCTGGGTTAGTTAACTCTACGGCTTCTTCCACATAGTCTTTGTCCTTCCCTTATATGCAGCTGAGTGTTGAGGGGCTGGGGTGATTATCTTTCAGCACACAGCAGTGAGCGGAGCCCCTTAACCCTGCCCTCTTCCCGTGCTTCCCGGGCCACAAGCCAAGCGACTGAAGTTCAGTCTTCTCACCTCGAGCTACTGTTTAAAATGGCACTTTTAATTTCAAAGGGCTCATAGGTTGTTTTTTGCCAGCGGTGGGGATCAAACCCAGAGTCTTGGCCATGAAAGGCAAGCATCTTATCCCTGGGCTATACCCCAAGGCTAGGGCTTCAGTCTTTAAGTCTAGCATGATGGTTAGAAATGTCATCTGAGAACTTTGTTTCTTTAGTATTTATCAGCTTTCTCTGCATGAACAATTCCCAAGAGCAGACTCACGAAAGTGTGTCTTGTGGCCTGGGCTATACACAAGCTGGGTACGTCTGTTCTGTGCAGAATCCTGTTTCTGTATTTGGTTCACTTAATCCACTGACCAGCAGGCCTTGCTCTCTAGCAGGTGGCTCCACAGCCCTTTCTTCTGAGTCTCTGACAGACTCAGTTTATCTGCTGAACTGTGTCTAGAAATATTCAGATTCCACAGGGCTGTCCAACCCACTGTAGCAACCACGTCCAGCCCCCTCAAACGCCGCCACCTGCTCTAACTGCTGGTTTCTTTCTGTCCCATTCTTCTAACGCTACTTTTTGTCTAAAAGGGTTGTGCTCACTTTGTTTTTTTAATCCAGTTACATGCCAGGCTGTCCAGCAGAGATCGTGGGTTCTGTGGGCATCGGAGTGACCAGCACCCGGGCCCCCAGGGCTGCTCCCTCAGACCTTCAGACCCTCTGTCTATGCCTGTTAGCACTCTGCATGCTCTTGGCTCTCCCACCCTGGGCTGGGCTTGCTAACTACGTTTGTTTGTTGTTTGTAGCAGTTTCTAAGTGTTTCCCAGGCTGGTCTCACACTCACAATCCTCCTGCCTCAACCTCCCGAATGCTGGGATTATAGGCATGTTTCACCATACTGAGCCTTGTTATTATTCTGATGGTGCTCCAATGGACAATACAGTCCACTCACTACACATCCTGGCACCTAGTACCCACCTCCTCCAGGCTGTGGGTAAGGTGGCCCAGCTGCCTAACCTCATACAGACACACTCCTTCACCAGAGTGCCTGCAGGCTTTCAGTCAAGTTTAATACTATGCAGTCCTTTGGGGACTTAGGGGCTCTGAGGGCTTAGGCCCTCTCATAGTAAAGACCCTAAAGACTTGCTGGAACTGCACACAGGAGGGAGGCTCAGCTTAGTTAAGAACAAAACAAAAACAAGTTCAAGCAGCTGATAAGACTTGAAGATGCCTCCAGGGGAACCTCTTCCACAGCAGTATCCTAGCTCCACAGTGAGGGCCTATGCCTACTCAGTGCTCACTGGTAGCCATACTATGCCTGGACTGAAAGCACAGAGGCCTGGCCATTGGCACAGGCATCTTCCTGGGTGAGAGATGGGGCCTGGCTAGCCACTACCCCAACCTCACTTAAGCACTTACAAAATCTTGTTGAATGTCTGTGAAATCTTTCCCATATTTTTCCAGAGCTTCCTCAAAAAGGTTGGCTTCTGATGCTGACCACTCCTCCATCTCATCCCGGCAGAGCACCGGCCCACCCTGAGGCACGAGGGCTGAGATAGCCTTGGAGATGTCGTAGATGTTCTTGTGCAGCGTGTCCATAGCATGGAACTGTAAGACAGCAGGGCTCCCCTGGGTCCAGGCTGTCCCCAGGCCCTAAGGAGTATCTTCCTGAACCTCGATGTGACCCGCCCTCTCCTTCAGGTCTCAAGGTGGCAATCTAGTGGCTGCCAAGGCCCCTGGGTGGGAACCCCTCCCTAGCTCCCTTAGCATAGGTTAAACAAATCTAAGGTGTACTAGAAGACGCTGAAGTCCTCAGTTACCCTGCTAGGACCCTCTGTGCCTATGTGGCTGTTGGACCCCAGAAGAAAGCAGGGGAGGTGGCAGTGGCCCACTCACCAGGGTGATGTCTCGGGAGGCTGCTGCGGCACTCATGTGCAGGCTAGGCTGCCGCACGGAGCTGCTGCAATCCAGGGCCCGTGCAAAGGTGCCCACGGAGCTGGGAAGAGGGAGACTCACTAACCACCAGAGCTGACTTGGAGGGATTGCCTCACCAGGCAAGACAGTGAGGGCCAGGGCCCAGGGGGCACACCCACCAAAGGCCTCTGGGGCTCAGCTTTAGAGGAGGCCAGGGAGAAGCTGCAGGAGCATCTTGGTGGCATATGAGTCCCCGTGTGCAAATGTGTCGGGGACAAAGAACTTACAAAAAGTGCCTCAATGCCGCTTAGGAGAACCTGCCATCTCCAGTGTGTCTGCTGGAGATCTCTCTATGGGGAGCTGCCTCAAGACCTGAGGAACCTAAGCCTCACTGTCTGTGGCAAATGTAAACAGGCCTCCTCCTGGGCCATGCTGGGATTTATCTGGGCTTCAACTGCTCTGTAGGCTCAGCACTGGTTCTGGGGTCCTACCTCCATTCAAGCAGCCTCCAGCCACCCACTGGGACAGCTGGGAGCTTTTAGCTAGGTCCCAGCCTAGCCCCGGGAGAAGTGCCTACCTATGGTGGAGACAGACCTCAGGGCACACAGTGAGAACATAGGCCCAGACACACAGGCACACTTGTCACGGGTCCAAAGGGACCCAGGGACATTTGCAGCCCTAAAAGGCTGCATCCATACTCAGGGAAAGGTCTGAGCAGGAAACAAGGACAAGACCATGGACTTCATGTTGGATGTACAAATTAAGGCTCCATGTCTCCAAGACCCATCACGGTGCTCCAGGTAACAACCTGCTTGTCCCTGGTTATTGAACTCACCGGGCCACTACAAGGAACTGGTCAATCTGCTTATCCACAAGCGGATTATGGGCTTCCCACACCTTGGTCTCCAGTTTCGACTGATCACGGCCATCCTCCTCACCTATGGGGAACAAGTGTCCCTTAGAACAGCAAAGACTGTGGAAAAGACTCCAGAGTGGAACCAAAAGTCTGTTTGCTCTCCTTTTCCCCAGGTGATGGGAAGTGCTAGCTTGGAGGGGAGGCCAGTACACATATCCTTACATATAACCTCCAAGGCACACTTGGCTCAGGATTGGCTTGTACATCTTATATACCCAATACCTGGGGCGGGAATGACCTGGGGAAGGGGAGGTGTTGGGCACTCTGCTCTTTGATTTCTATTACTCTGAGAGTTTGGGGACAATTACTGATGAAATAACTGTATACTCATAAAGAGCATACAGCAGCACCAAGAGTCTTGAAGAGAACTGTGTCATGAGCCAGGTCAGGCCTGACTCTAGGGAGATGCCCTGAGGAGAAATCCCACAATCATCCATTGTCTGACTCTCCAGCCAAGGGCTACATTCATAATTTAATGAAGGTATCATGCTTCGAAATTTGCATCAGATCCAATCAACTCTCCTTTGGCCCTTGGCATCAATGTACCATGTGACCATGAACAGCCAGCACTTGAGTCCCTGCAGGGTACTGGGTTCCAAGTCAGGGCACTGAGCAAGTTCTCTAACAAAAGGACTGGATGTCTCCAAGGAGATATTTCTGACCCTCTTAAAGAGTTACTATCTCTGGGCCCTAAATCCAGGGCAGGGCAAGTCTTACGATCAGCCAGTCACAGAGGATGAGGGCCCTGGGTTGGAAGCCCACCACTGCAGAAGACCTGCAGGGACCACAGTAAGGACTGAGGAGCTTGAATCATCAGTTCTCTGGCGGTCATGGTCCACAGCTGGAGTCTATGAACTCCAGCCTATGCCGGCCTGGTACAGTGGCATTTCCCCAGTGCTATGGGTGGGTTTCTGTCTTGGTGTGGACTGTACTCAATCCCTTCACCTGGGGTCACAGGGTGTAACCCTTGGCATTCCAGGGTCCCCAAAACCAAGACACTGTTCACAGTAAATGACTTACAACTGCCTGGAACAGAGAGCAAAGAATGCCAGGGGATCCCAACCCACATTGCTCACTTTGAAATTTCCAACACAGTTAATGGAGGCAGCATGGGGCTGGAGATGGCTCAGCAGTTAAGAGCATGTTAAGAGTATGCTCTTCCAGAGGACCTGAGTTCAATTCCCAGTACCTGAATTCCCAGTACCCGTGTCTAGCAGCTCACAAACACCTGTAACTCCAGCTCCAAGGGATCCAACATCTCTGGTCTCAGTGGGCACCCCCAACATGGCATATATACCACATGATTAAAAGTAAATATAAGGCCGGGCGGTGGTGGCGCACGCCTTTAATCCCAGCACTCAGGAGGCAGAGCCAGGAGGATCTTTGTGAGTTCGAGGCCAGCCTGGTCTACAGAGCGAGATCCAGGAAAGGCGCAAAGCTACACAGAGAAACCCTGTCTCGAAAAATCAAAAAAAAAAAAAAAAAAGTAAATACAATTTTTAAGGAAGACATCATGAGGAAGTAACTGTCTTTGTGTCAAAAGGCTGCAGAGGAGTGTGCTGAGAGAAAAGAGGCCACTGTGGCAGGCAGCTCCCCTGGGGCCCTGAAGCCAAAGCATGGCTCTCTTGGGGATTCTCCTAGCACTCATCAATGAGCCCACAAATGCCTAGGAACATGGATATGCCAGATTCGGAGGAAGAGATGCTCCAACTGAGGTCCTCTGACCTTTGAGACCTCTCCCGCCTCTCAGGTCCCCGTGGAACCCAAGTTCATGTGGATTTCATAGGCAAGGCCTCTGTTACTTTCCTCTGACCCTGGCTAAGCAAGCAGATACTGCGGCTTCAGCCCAGGAGGCTGGACATGGTTCAGGACTGCTTATAGAGCCTCGGGGCTGGGGCCATTTGGGGAAGAAGCTCAAGAGAGGCCAGCACAGGCAGCAGCTGGCTGGCTCTGGCTAAGAGGTTGTGTATGGGCATCAGGATGTGTCAGGGACAGGGTAACAAGCTCAACCATGGGACAGAAGTCAACAAAGGACAGTCTCCCAAACACAGAGCCTTGTACCCAGAGCCAGCCATCTGATGAGCCAGGCCCTGCCCAGTACCCACCCAACTGGGCCTAGTACCTCATTCTGAGATCCAACAAGCACCAGAAAACACAAAGACTAGAAACCAATACGGTAAAGGGAAGAGCATGCAAAATGACGTCAACATGTGCCACACTAGGGCCAAGTATTCTAAGAAGGCAGCGCACTGTCCTCGCACACACAAGGTTCTATCTGAAGTACTGCAAGAGAATAAAACAGCAACAGCCTCAGAGACCCGGTAATCCCTCAGAATGCGCTAACAGTCACATGGGGTACGGAGCCTCTGACAGCTATTGGGGCAGATCTGAGCGCTTTACTGGGGACGAAGGCCAGGGTCTGGAGCTCATCAGGTCATTCTGCAAGGCTGTGGAAGGAAGATGTGGACGGACCCACAAGCCTCAGGTCAGAGTTGATGGATGTCAATCTGCTCTGGCGGCGGCAAAAAACCTCCCGACCAAAGGTGACAACCCGAGTTTGACCTCTGTGACCCACCATAGTAGGATAGGACCTGTCCTTGCAGGGTGTCCCCTGACCCCCCCCCTACATACAGATTAACGAATGAATAAATGTAATTTCACACGCATCCCCAAAAGACGAGGTGGTGGTAAGATGGCTCAGCATGCAAAGGTGCTTGCAGCCAAGCCGGGCAGCCTGAGTTCAGTCTCTAGAACCCACATGCTGGAGAGAAGTGACTCCTACAGACTGTTCTCTGACCTCCACACGCACACTAAAGACCTGGGTTTGATCCCTGAGTCTCACATGGTGGGATGAGAAAACAGACGCCATCAAGTTGTCTTCTGACCTTTATACACACACACACACACACACACACACACACACACACACACACACACACACACACACACCACACACACACACACACACACCACACACACACACACACACACACACACACACACACACACACCACACACACACACACACACACACACAATGCAGGCATGCACGCCCACCCCTATGCATGCACCACACACGAATGCAAAAACTATAATGAACCAGGTGTGGTGGCTGAAGCAAGAGGGTGACAAGTTCAAGGTCAGTTTGGACTATATAAGTGAGACCCTGGGATGGGGCTAGGGAGATGGCTCAATGGTTAACAGCACTGACTGCTCTTCCAGGAAACCTGGGTTCAACTCTCAGAACCCACAGGGTGGCTGCTCACAACCTTTTATAACTCCAGCCACAGGGAGCCAACACTTTCTTCTGACTCCATGGCATTGTTAAAAAGTGGTGCACCAATATACATGCAAGCAAAATATCCACACACACAAAATATAAGTAAATAAATGAAGTAAGGAATGAGGCTAGGGGTGTGGCATGTGGCAGAGCACTTGCCTAGCTGAAAAATATAAAATCAAAGTCGTAATGAACTGCTGAAGGGAAATCCGAGTTCAAGCAGCCACAGGGGGTCAACAGGTGGCTTTGGGGTTGAGACTTGCTGCTGGGTCCCAACGTCCACTAGGAATGAGGCTTTGAAAGCCGAGGTAACCCAGGCTGCAGCTGCAGGCACTACTCTGAGCTTCCTGCCTGCCATGGCCCAACCTGAGCCTCACCTTCTTTCAGCAAGTCAGTGATGTCAGCCTGGTACCGGTTTCCTACTCGGATCTCCCCTTTGTCAGCCAGGAGGGTCTTCTGCTGTGGGTCGTAGACTAGAGAATAGAAGAAGAAATCCTGAAAAACACAAGACAGAGGTGTCAGGTGAGTCCTCTACCTTCAGCTGTTTCCAACAAGCCTGTCCAGTTCTGATGGGGGAGGGGGCACGGTGACCTGCCTGTCCATGACCCCAGAAACAGAAGCCCCCACAGCAACAGAAATGAAGTAAGAACTGGGAGGACCTTATCAAGGTGCTGCAGAAGGTGCCTGTCTGGTTAGGAGCTAAGAGCTGATGGGTCAAGGTCATCTTGCCAAGGTCACTGGGCACAGCCCCTCACAAAGCCACAGTCTTTCTGTCTCAGCAACAATTTGAAACTCAGCTTATGAAGGCCGGGCATAGTAGCACACGCCTTTAATCCCAGCACTTGAGAGGCAGAAGCAGGCAGAGCTCTGTGAGTTCGAGGTTGGTCTGACTGTAAGGGATAGGATTGGCTTACAGCCTGAGACAGGGAAAGGTGGAGAAAGGTTGGTTGTACGACTCTCCGCCTGGGTCAGTCGTGAAAAGTTGCAGCCTGCTGTGGTGTTTAGCTGTGCTTGGTGAAACTACATAGTAAGTTCCAGGACAGCCAAGGGCTACACAATAACCTGTCTCAAACACCTTGTGGGGAGAGGGGAGAAGAAATTCAACTTATGAGAGCAACAAAAGTGCCTAGGAATAAACCCTCCAACAGGCTGCAGGCGAGCAGGCATGTGAGGCTGCACCAAGCACAGCTGGACACCACAGCAGGCTGCAGCTTTTCACGACTGACCCAGGCGGAGAGTCATACATCCAGCCTTTCTTAGCCTTTCCCAGGCTCAGGCTGTAAGCCAATCCTATCCCTTACAGTCAGCATGGCGTTGGTTCTGAGTAGTATCTCCTGGGCCTGAGATCAACTCATCCCCATAGCCTGGCTCTCAGTGCTCCCTGTGATCTCTGCTGCCCAGCTCTTCCACAGCTCTTGGGCTGCTGGTCCTCACCTTACATTCCACCCCATGACTAGCAATTCTTCTGCCTCTTTTTCCAGGTCCTAATCTACTTCCTGCTACCACTCTGAGACTAACTAACTTCTCTCAACTGCCACATTGGGGTGTTAGTACCACATACAGACCTGTCAATGAATGCTGCCTTTCTAAGGGGTCCAGCCCACCCAGGGGATAGTGGTACTGTCCCAGACCCACCAGTGTTCAGACCCCATACCATTTTTCTGAATTATAAAAACCATGCAGCCTGTTTCATGCTAAGTCTCACTAGCTGGAAGGTCTGGGTGGCCTGACCACACTAGGTATCCCTCTGTTGGCTACTGTCTGTGGTAGGGCTGCTCTTCTTGGTGGGATCCTTGTTTCTTTTCTTTTCTTTCTTTTTTGTTTGTTTGTTTTGTTTTGTTTTACAAGACAGGGTTCTCTGTGTAACAGCCCTGGCTGTCCTGGATCTCACTCTGTAGCCCAGGCTGGCCTCGAACTCACAGAGATCCACCTGACTCTGCCTCCCGAGTGCTGGGATTAAAGGCGTGCATCACCACTGGCCAACAGGATCGCTGTTTCTTGAGACTTTGCCTGTGAGGGCTGAGGCCTAGGCAAAGAATGATTCTTAGAGACTATCGGTGGTTACACCTGGTAAGTTGCAGGTACTCAAGGGAAACCAGCAGTCTCGGGCGCACGGAGGGCAGCGAGTCGCCTAGCCAGAAGAAGCAGGAACCTGCTTTTTCCATCACTCAAGTATCGCATGTTTCCTAAACATCTAAATGGAAAAACAGTATCAAGAGCACATGGGCTTCACCACCTGGACCCAGGCAGCACTTGGAACACTCTAGGCTGTCTGTGTCGCTCATACTACTGGGGTTGCCACTGTGTGTGCCATATTACCACTGGCCTTTGGCTCACAAGTGCGCGTGACTCTTCCCATCCTGCAGTCACCCTTCTCCATAGCTGTCAGCAGGGGTCCTTCCAAAGTTCCTCTCTGCCCAGGGGAAACACTCCCAGCATCAACCACAGCCTCTGCCCTCTTGTGTGGCCAATAGTCCTCCACGGCCTCCTCCTCCGTAGGCCCTGCCTGCCTCGAGGACTGTGGTGTACATCTCATGATGCTCAGACTCCTAGCCCTGCAGGACTTCAAGCAGTTCTCACCAGACCAACATGTCCACGGCTGCTCAGACTCGTGGGCCTGAAAGGGCTCATGTAGCAATAGCTGAACCACCATGTCCAGCTATCTCTGGGCTCTGTCTGGCAAGAGTGGTGGTGATGGCTGGGAACAGAGCAGGTTCACAGTGAGCGCTGTATTTAGATGTGACCCCTGCGTGAGGGGTGTGGGCTGCGCCCGGGACCTATTCTGCCATCCCAGTACTCTCAAGCTTAAGTGGTACTCCCTGGGGGTATAGGTAACGGGCCCCCGTCTAGGTCAGCCTGAGCCAGCTGTACACGGGAGCCTCAGGTCACAGGCCTCAAGCTGAGGTAGTAGAGCCCCAGAGGCAAGAGGTGGTGGTGGTGGTGGTGGTGGTGGTGGTGGTGGTGGTGGTGGTGGTGGTGGCGGCGGCGGCGGCGGCAGCAGTAGTGTGGTGGTGGTAATGGTGTGAAACCTGCTTCGTACCTGACTATCAGTGTTCCTTTCAACTGCCAATCCTCCAAGTAACTGACATGCTAGCCATCTAGCCTCAGAAACTTGACCTTCCCAGTAGTAGTATCCTACAACATCCTCAGGGACTTTGCTTCCCCAGAGACGCTAATTTCTCTAGGGAGTGGTATCTAATGGGTACTACCCAACTGTGTGCAGAGTGACCCTACATAAGAACCACTTGCCCCAAAGGCAGCAGCCCTGAGGTCACTTCAGGCTGTGGACAGAGATGGCCCGCGTAGCCTTCTGTTTTCCATGTGTTATCCACAATGTTTTGTAGGAGACAAGGTGGCTCTTGTCCCTGGAACCCTGGCTAGGAAGGCTCACCAATTCCAACCACTTATTCCCCCAGAGTTGGAACCTCCACATGGGGGACATCTTGAAGAAATGCCTGTGAACACCTGAAATGACCAACAGGATCCAGACAAACTTCTCTGAATCCTGGTGACAGGGTACTGTGGGTAGGGAAGGAGCTGCAGTACAGTTAAAAGGGCAGGCATCATGCCAGGGCAGAAAACAGTAGAATGAGTCTTACCTCACGCTCCAGGTAGGATTTGAGTGACTCAGTCTCATTGAGCAGGGTAACACTGCATTTGCCCCTGGAAGAGAAGAATGGGTAAGAGAAGGAGGGGCAAGTGGCAGGGCACCAGGCAGGGCCTCGAGAACTACCTGATGTGGGTGGCGGGCAGTGACTCCAACTGCCGAGAGAGGAACAGTTCCCGGTGCCGCAGCTGATGCTTCAGTTTCTCAGGCAGGTCCACCATCTCTGGGTTCTCCACCTCTTCCTCCACTTCCCCTAGAGGACAAAGAGGTCCTGTCAGTCATCCCTGAAGATGGCAACTGAGAACCCTGCCCCCCAAGCTAGCTCTCCCTCGTGCAGGGCACCAAGCGCAGGAGGGCCACTTCCCTGCCTATCACATCTCCTGCCCATTCCAAGGTGGCTCAGGAGCTCTGGGCAGCCCCACAGATGCCCTGGAAGCCTGGAATATAGGGCTCAACATCAGATGGGAAGAGGAAGACAGTGTTCAGACTGGCCTCAGAAGCAGCAGGCAGAGAGGCAGGAAAAACATGGGCGCACTACATGTTCAGGACAGGAGGTCTCACCCGCTAGCCTGAGGCCAGACGGCCCTGCACAAGACACAGTAGATGTCCTGCACTAGCAGGACAACCCCTTGAGGCCTGGGCCACAGCCAAGGCCGGGCTACAGGCTGAACATTGGGATTCCCAGCCCTCAACCGGCTGGCAGAGGATGCAGGGATGGGCATGCAGGCAGCCCATCCAGGAGACATCCACCTGTGCGTCGCCCGCCCCAGCCCAGGGACACAGACGCGAGGACACCCTCCTTGCAGAGGTCGGCTCTTACCTTCCTCGCCGGTGTCCGCCCCCGGTCCGGCTCTATAGCAGACTGACAGGGCTACATAACAGACAGACAGCGCCCAGATGGCAGGTTAGGGCCAGTGCCAGCGCTTGCTCCCTGCCCAGGGCCCGGACCGAGGAGACATGGGGGCCACAGGCCTCCCAGTAGAGGATGAACACCACCCAGCCAAAGACTACCTGAGTCTCCTGACTGCTCCAACATTCAGGCCGCCCACCCAAGACCCATCCCTCTTCCAACTACTGCCTGAGACCTTCTAGAGTGTAGCTCTTGACCACCCCAACCAGAATGTTCACACACATTGCACCAATCGGGGCCTGACTCCTCCCTAGATGGCAGCAAGCACAGGAGTCAGGGGCCTCCAGACAAGACTGCCCAGAGAAAGGCAAGAAAACAACAGGACGGCCGGCGGAGGACACTGGCTATTGGGAGAAACCCAGGCTGTACCGAACCCCAGGGGGTTTGGCTACTGTCCACTACCTGCATCAACAAAATACTCCTCTGCCTATCCCAGATTCCGGAATTGGGAGTATGAAATAATGTGCACAATGAAGCCCAGGCTTGTCTAGTGTGTCCAGCAGGGGGACAGCCCTGCCAACACCCACAGCTCCAATAAGCCTGCCAGACATGGCTGCTCTCTGTCGCCCCCATGTGGTGACTGTAGGGCGTTCTGGCACTTTTGGGAAGGGAATCCCTAGCCTTAGGCATCTTAGATGGAGGCCAGGGCTGGGAGTTACGTTCTCAGTATGACTGGGCCCCAGGAGCCTGGGCATCTCCACTGAGCTATTTTCTTCCTAAACAAGGCAGGCAGGTCTGTTCAGAGCAGCTCCTGCCCAGTGGACAGGAGCTATGCACACCATCATTTAGAGCCTGAGATGTAGTTACATGAGGCCCAGCCACCAACAACTCAAAGAGGTTAGCTTTTATGCACACCCACTCTGTATCATACAGTACATCTAGGGGACACAGCCACACTCTCACTGGTAGAGGGACCTGTGGGCTGCATCTGTGTCAGGCTCCAGGTACAATCCTCCACTAACCTTGAAAGACACCAAGTGGTTCTAGGATGCCCTCATCTCTTCTAGCCCTAGAGCAGAGCCAGACCCTGTCACGGCTACATGCACAGCCTCTGGCTCCAGCTGTCCCTAGAGACCTTACAAAGGACAAATCCTGAAGGCAGGTGGGACAGCCCCAACCCATACTCCACGCCTCCCCGCTTCCCAGGCCTAGAAGCACTAGCTCTGGGCTCCCACACCACCTCCAGTCTCACTCTGCTAAGGCCTAACCTTGCTCTGGAGGGTACTGGGTAGAGGCCAGGCCACATTTCCCTCTGTGGGCATCTGGAAGGGGTTCCTGCATGGGTGCACCATAAGCTACAGAGTCTGGCCGCCCATCTGAGGCCAGTGCTTGGACTAGACACCCTGGCAGTGCACCGACTGGGAAGCCAGAAGCTCCTGACCACAAGGCAGGGCCCTCTCTGGGTCTCTAGCTCCTGTGTAATGCCCCCTACTGTGGAAACAGCTGTGTGTGCCCTGGCTATGGGGAGCTATGTGATCAGGAGGCAGCCCCAGGGAATGGGGCACTCGGCAGTCACATGACGGGCCCGAGAGAAGTCAGCCAGCAGACCCTGGTACCCTTGATGCCTGCCTCCTTGGCTTGATGAAGCTCACGAGAGGCCTGGCCAGAGATGCCCCATGCAGCTTTTCTGGGAGCACAGTGTGGGGGCTCTGTAGACGCCCTGGTTCTGGGAGGTCCTCCACACTGAGGTAGTCCTCCTGGGACTGAGTCTTCACACCAAACACCCTCCTCCACAGAGACAGTAGCACCTCTGGGGTGTCTTAGACAGCAGGAGGTTCGGACTGTACAGTGGTCCTTAAAGCAGGTCACTGCCCTTCCAGCAGACCATCCCCTCAACTGTGGTGGACACAAGATGGCTCCGACTTTACTGCAGACTTGAGACCCACACCTGCAGGTTACAATCATGTCAAACATTCACAGAGCATGAAGCATATGTACCCACAGGCTTTGAGGTCAGAGGTCGAGGGAGCCCAGCTTTGTGTCCAAAAGGGTTCCTAAGCACATGGTCTAAGAGGAGGGCTGCATTTTCATTTTGGAAGCAAAAACAAAGGGTCCAGTGCTGTGCTAGTGAGTCACCCAGGGCTACCCGCAGGATGACAGGAACTTCACTGCATAACCAACCCCACTCTCAAGTCAGCTCTGGCTCCTTCGTGCTCCTCCCTACCTAGTCCCGGGGAGGACAGCTAGTTCTGGACACCCTGCCTCTCACACACTCCTGCTTGAGGTAGGTTTCTAGGGTTCCCACCTGATTGGCTGCCACCACAAGGATATTCTGGCTCCTGCAACCCTACTCTCACCTGCTAGGAGTGGGGATGATGGAGTGTGTGCACAGGTGTGTGTGTGCGCGCTGCGCGTGTGCATTGAAAGTGGGTCTTGAGCCCTTCACCCAGCAACGGAAAGTCAGGGATGATACCTATTGAACTAACTCTTAATGGAAAAGTACCCTCCCTGGGTGGACAGCCCAGGCAACTCTGGTCCTCCCCTGCTCAGAGATAGCACCCACAGTGGCCAGAGCCTTACAGTTCCCAGGCTCAGGCAGAACGCCTGGGTCAAGCACCCAGGGCTCAGCAGTTGTGCAATATTCACACAGCCCTCCTCCAGTCATGATATGGGCCTGTTTCAGTGAGAGGTCAGACCCTAACCATGAGGACCAGGCAAGGTTCCAACAGGGAGGAAAAGTACGCTTGAACCATGCTTATCAGGCTTGGGTTTGAGTTCCCTTGAGCAAGGAGGAAGGTCTTTGTTTCTGAAAAAACTACTAAAAACATAGACATCTTCCAGTGAAATGAAATCAGTCTACCTCAAGGGCCAGACAATGACCACAGCATCTGCTCTGGGCCAGTACCCTCCTTATCGTCTGCCCTGTGGGTCTGAGCCAGGCACCAGGCACACCAACATCCCTCGCTGGACCATAACTATGGGTATGGGGCAAGAGGCACAAAGAGGATGTTTCACCCTAGCCCATGGGTAAACAGGACTGAAGAGGGACTATGCACTTGCACAGAGCTATAAAGATGTCACCAGAACACAGCTAGAGACAGGAAAGGACAAAGCAGGCCAGCAGAATGGCCTCAGTGAGGCCAGAACCCAAGAGCAGGCACTGAAGGGGGCAGGCACATCACCCCAGGGGAAAGGCTGGGACTCACTTGCATGCTTGTCAGCCAGGGCGATGAGACTGCTGGAAATGTCCCGCCTTCTGTAGAAACACACCACCTTGGCCTCCACATTCCCGTTGGCTGTCTGTAACAGCAAGGCAGAGGTGTCTGAGCAATGGAAGTCCCAAAAGGGGCCTTGAGACAGGACCAAGTCCCCCAACCAGAAACATTCAGAAGAAAATGACAGATCTCCAATACCTGAGCCCAGGTGTGAGGCCCCGAGGAGTGAGCTGAGGACAGCCAAACCTCTGACACATCAAAGTCAGGTAAATGGGACCAAAAGGGAATGAACGCTAGACACAGAGATTGATTTCCCCCACCCAATGACCTGGACCCATGAGGTTCTACATTGCCAGCCAGGGGCCCCACCAAGATAGCGGCCCTAAGATAGCAGCAGCCCTTTACCAGAAAGCCTAAGGACAGCCCTGACACAGACTGCAGCTACCCTTCTTCCCTTCCAGGTCAGGCTCCAACACTGTCCACCACAGGACTGCCAGCAGTTGAGACCTGGTCACCCGGACCCACATGACCAACAGGAACCACCAAGGTGAGACCTTGAGTCAATTGTGGACCTTGACCTGGGCTCCTGTAACACTCTGCATGTTAGCACTATCAGAGAATACTATACAACTAGCCAGGGTTCACATAAATGCTAAATAATGAGAGGCAGGGGGAGGCAGATCTCTGTGTGTTGAAGACCAGCCTGGTCTATACAGTGAATTCCAGGTAAGTCAGGACTATATGTGAGACCCTGCCTAAAAACTAACAATAATAATGTTGTAATGATGCAAGGTTATAACCCTGGCTAGTGTTCCCACCCTGGGTGGAGAATGTATATATTACTAAGTTCTACACAAGGTATCTGTCTCCTCACTCCTGTTTATCCACCCTGTTCACTCACGCACACTGGCATGGTCTGTGGACATCTGCTATACCCAGAGCCATCATCGAAGGGAACTCTGTTCATCCTTCTATGGCCACTGAGATCTCCCTGGTTGGCTCTTCTAGCTGACAGACCTCACATGGTGAAGCAGTTCATAGTCTGAAGCATCGACACTCACAGTGAGTCCTGCAGCGACAACAGCCCCACCCCAGACAGCCACTTGGGCCCAGACTTGCACAGGTTCTGACAGCTACTGTGGTCCACAGCTCACTCTGCACCCAGCCCAATACCATCACACATCCCTCAATACAGTATTTTATTTTATTTATTTTGGTTTTTCAAGACAGGGTTTCTCTGTGTAACAGTCTCAGCTGTCCTGGAACTCACTCTGTAGACCAGGCTGACCTTGAACTCACAGAAATCCACCTGCCTCTGCCTCCCGGCAGTACAGTATTTTAATGCTGTTCCACGTTTATGCTGTCTTCATTTCTTTTCCTGCTGCTGTGTTAAGTTACTCTGACAGAGTAACTTAAGGGAGAAAAGGACTTAGCCTGGCTCACAGGTCCATGTTACAGTCCACCACGGCAGAGAAGTCACACATCAGGAGCTTGAAACAGCTAGTCACATGGTATCCACAGTCAGGAAGCAGAGTGATGTATGCCTGGGGCTGCTCAGCTCCCTTTCTCGGCTTATACTGTCTGGGATCTCAGCCAGGGAATGGTGCTGCCAGAAGTGGGCAGGCCTCCCTACCTCAATTAACATAATTAAGGTAAGACACCCCCCTTCCCCGCCAGGTGTGCCCAGAGGGCAGTCTTGCATGTGATTCTAGATTCTGTCAAGCTGACAATACTAATCAACCATCACATACTCTGACTACATATAACGAAAGAAAAATGATCACATACTCTAATCAAATGTAACTATAGAAAAATGGCTGAGCCAGTACTGTGACACTGTTCCTTCTTCCCCATTCCCCAAGGTCATGTTCATTCACATTGCTCTATTACCTAGTTTTCCCCTCAACTGTCTATCATGGAATCCTCCAAACAGCTTACAATTGGGGTCCAGGAACAAATGTCAAGCTTTAACCATTGGTGACACTCCCACATCATCTTTATGGCTGTCTAAGCTGGGGGACCTCTTAGTATACCCAGGATGATGGTCTCACTGTAGTAGTGGACAGCTTCCACAGCCTTCTGAGAGGCCAGCAGGTATAGTCACTTGCCCATCTACAACTGGACACAGGGTTGGGATGACCTGCCTTCTGCATAGACTGGAGAATGCCAAGCACAGCTGTGTGCCCATGCAGTCCACTTCTCCTCTAAACTGAGAGGAGGTTTTTGTTGGGGTTTTAATTTGAGACAGGGTCTCACTATCTGGCCCTGGTTCGACTTGAACTCACTATGCAGACCAGGCCGGCTTCAAATTTGGAGTTCCACTGTCCCTGTCTCCAAAGTGCTGAGATTAAAGGCATGTACAACCACCACTTAACCCCACTAAATTATTCTGTCTCTTGTGTTCTGAATGACAAGACACACCCAAGAAGACCTCCTGTTCAGTCCCTATTCCTTGGGTCACTCCTACCTGTTGGGAGATTCTTGTTTCCTGTAATTCCTTCTCAGTGGGTGCTGGGTTTTGGGGTTGTCTCTGGTTTTCTGATTTGTGTCCCAGTCTCTCTGCTCCTGTCCTACTTTCTAGACAGTGTCCTCAACTGTTACCAATCCTCCCTTTCTGTTTGCACTTCTCTAAGTCCATGCTCGTTTGGGGAGCTTCTCTCACTCTGTCCCCTGGCCACAGCACCTGCCCATGCTTGGTACTCTCTCCCTCCCTGAGGCCCTGGGTTCTGTCTCCTGCTCCAGCAGCTCCTTTTCCTCCTGGTTCCATTTTCATATATGTATTAATCTTGTACAGCCTCTGGGATCCAGGAGTTTCTCATCACTGAAGGTACTTGTCTTTCCTCTGTAACAGGTCCTGAGACCGTTTCACGTGTGATGGACATGCTAACTGTGGACGGCAGCCAGGGACATCAGGTAAGTCATACTGCCTTGTTAGCCTCAAGTGTTGCAGGGTGAAACCTAGAGTACCTCTCACAGACTGTGGAGATCAGAGGTATGCTATGCCATAGAGGTCCATGACTGAGGCCAAAACAGAAGCCCAGAGAGGAGCCCCATCCCTCTAACAGAGTCTGACATTAAGAGACAGCAAGACCGGTCTACAGCTGGGATCTGAGCCTGCCAGTGCAGCTCACAACTCCCCACTACATGACTTGTCCTCTGCACTTGGCTTTGAGGTAGGTGAGACTTACCCCAGAGTATCACTCAAAATGACAGGGCTCACACAGCTACACATGCTGGGCCAAGGGACACCCTTTAGCTGCTGCTCACTGAGGATCTAGGGGACACAGCCAGCCAGACTTGGCCCACTCACTGCAGATGGGGTACTCCTCTACAAACTTGTTTGCTCATGTCCAAGTCTTTGCAACTGAAATGTGTAAATGAAAGCCTGTTGGTCCACATCTATAGCAGCCAACTGTTCAAACTGAGAGCTCAGCTCCATCTACCCAACCTACTGCCCTGCCTATTGGCAACTGTGACCAGGGCCAATTCTGAGGTACTTGTCAGGGCTCTGGTCCCAGTGAAGTACATCAGAGGAAACACTAGTACCCACCTATGCCATGACAGGCCTCAGGTCTCCAGAAGCTCCCCGTATGCTCTGACTAATTTCAATTCATCTTCCCAAGACATCCCCAGGTGCACACATGCACACATAACTTATCCCTGGGCTGGTAGCAGATGCTGCTGCAGCAGCATAAGGCCTTAGACAGCACAGCCTGAGCAACATGGGTCCCAAGGAGCTGGAGCCGGTAAGGTCAAACCCTAGAAGCTGGGCTACACCTAGGCTTCCATCAAGAGCCACTGCAGGGCTTAGCCAGGCTCAACAGGTCCATCTGTGGGGTAGCGTCCAACCTTGCCTTCCCTGTCCATTTGATCCCAAGAATCCCAAGCCACCATTCCAGCAAGCCTGGAGTTCTAAGAAAGCACACCCTCTCACTGGTTTGTGATACTCAAGAAGGCTACGGAGGCTCACATCCACCCAGTATGGCAGGAAAGAGTGTGTTTTCAGGGACATGGGTCTGGGAAATTTGTCATGTCCTCTGCCTGGCACTGGAAGAAGCAGAGCAGGAACATGCCTGCCTACCCCAGCACCCTAGAAAAGCCTCTACTCATGTGTCAACTTGTCCATGTCTCCACACTCCTAGCCTCCACCCTAGGTGGCATGTGGATATCCTGGGGTTCCAGTAATGGAACAACCATGTCCCCAGACAAAGGATTAAGCATCTGCCAAGGATTCCCAACATCCCAGCATACACAAACCATGGTAGAAGAAGCAACCGGAGTATGACATCAACAAGGACCCCCAGTATATAAATACTGCATGCACCCTCAAGGCTGTAATGGACAGAGCAGACAATTTTGAAATGTTCATGGTAGTCCTGTGGCCAGGAAGTCACCTAGGCCAATGGAAATAAGAGGAGGATGAGGAGAGAGCATGTGTGTGTAGTTGGAACCAAGAACACTGAAGGCCACTGCCCCTGGTCTGTCACTAGTCTCCAGAATCATCCACCCAGATCCCTCTGAGTCCTTGGTGTGCTCAAGTCCATGCCTCGGACAGAGCAATATTTGCTGGGAGATGAGGTAGAAAGACTGCAACACCTCAAGGCTGCCCTGGGCTTGTCCTCAAGAAGCCTAGGCAAAGGCTGGAGAGATGACTCAGTGGTTAAGAGCACTGGCTGCTCTTCCAGAGGATTTGGGTTTGATTGCCAGTACCCACACGGCAGCTCACAATCTATAACTCCATCTAGTTCCAGGGGATCCAATACCCACTCTGGCCTCCTCAGGCACAGATATACATGCAGACAAAACACCCATACACATAAAATTTAAAAAAGCCTAGACATGGCCTTTAAAGAGCCACAGGGGCTCATTCACAGCCTCCCCTGGAGAGACATCAAAATCCAGGCAGGAAGACTCTGACCACCCACAACAGGGAAGGCTCCACCCCTCCCCACCAGGGCCAGGCAGTAGCGCTACTGTGTTGAGCCCTTACCTTATTGAGCTCTTCAATCCTGCGGATCAGGTACGGGTTGCTGGAGGAGTTCTCAAAGTAGACATAGTCTGCAAACAGAGAGGCCATCACACAAAGCACCAAGTCTCTAAGTCATTCCCACCATTCTTAGGACCCCCAAGCAGACCCTCTAAGCCCTAGCCCCGCTCTGCTAGGGACTGGAGGGCTGGGGAATGGAGGAGGCAAAGCCCTCCACCACCAGAGCAGTGGATGGTCAGAACCCAGAGAGGGGTGCTGGGCCAGATCACAGTTGTTAGTGGGCTAGGAAGAGGTAGGATTGAGGGGCTGTCCTGGGAGGGGCCTGCAGCCCTCAAACCCCCAATGTCAACTGCCTTCAGGAGCATAAGCCTTAGTGGGAAGGCTGTGGGGGCCGACTGCAGCTTCCCCCATAAAGCCCAACTCTAAAGCTACCCTGAGGCCCTTGCTCAAAACTACTGGACACCTTCCCAAGTAGCTGCTGCAGGCAAGAACCGTGTGTCGACCATTCACCACCAGAGGCCAGGCTCCACAGATAGACACGAAGACTTTGAAAGCTGGCAGACTTAGCCTGGACAGCTCAGATCACCCCACTACCACAATGCTCCAGGAGTCCCAGTACAGAGAGCATGCTGGATTGTCACACTGCCAGGCTGGCAGAACTCCTTGGCAATGAACCCCCTCCTTAGCTGAGGTGACTAGAAGGTTCCTCCTGTTGAAATGGGCAGAGTTAGCAACTGCAGGTCCTTGCTCCCATGTAGGCACACACTTGCAGGCCTGCCACCATATTGCTTCCTGAGCCTGGGCCACCTGCCAGCAGGTCAGCCACATCCTTTTACCTCCAGCAGCTAGTGCTCAGAGGCATTCACACCAGGGTGGGGGTCTCCTGGAAAAAGCAAGGCCCAAGGGAAGGAAAGAGTACAGAATTGGAGGAAGTCTCTGGGCTTAGATTTGGGGCCCTCCTGGGGCACTTTGTTGAAATTCATCAATGTGGATCATTTCTTAATAAAACTAGTTTTTTAATAGGGCACCCAAAAGCACTGGTGGCTCAGTGGTAGAATTCTCGCCCGCCACACGGGAGGCCCTAGGTTCAAGTCCCAGCCAATGCAGAAATATACTTTGAGCCAGACAGTGGTGGCGCACACCTTTAATCCCAGCACTCAGGAGGCAGAGGCAGGTGGATCTCTGTGAGTTTGAGGCTAGCCTGGTCTACAGAGCAAGTTCCAGACAGCCAGAGCTCTATGAAAAAAATCCTGTCTCAAAAAAACCAAAAAAAAATTGTAAAAGGGGAAAAAAAGGCATCCGCAATCTAAACTTTCATGATTACAAATCATAGCAAAATAAGCCCAAACCCCAAATTATTTATACTTGCCAAAAACTGGAATAAAATCTAATCTCTCCCAAGAGGCAGGCACTGAGGTAGCTCATCTCAGAGAAGAGCAGACACACAGACATCCAAGAACAGGGGATGGGCACTGGTATGGGGATGGGGTGGTACCCTGACGGGAGGGCTCGCTCATGGACAGGGCCACACATTATGTCTGTGGCAGCAGCGACTCAACCACACACCTTCCCCAAACCTCAGAGGTGCCTGCCCAACAAGAATGAAGTATGCTAAATGTACATTATACATTAGTAAGAAAATAAAGAAGGCAGAAAAAAAATGAACAAAAATCAACGTGAACTTAGACAAGAGGAAAAAAAAAATCAAACCAAAGAGTGGTTAAAACATTAATAAATGGAGCCGGGCGGTGGTGGCGTACACCTTTAATCCCAGCACTCGGGAGGCAGAGCCAGGCGGATCTCTGTGAGTTCGAGGCCAGCCTCGGCTACCAAGTGAGTTCCAGGAAAGGCGCAAAGCTACACAGAGAAACCCTGTCTCGAAAAACCAAAAAAAAAAAAAAAAAAAAAAAAAAAAATTAATAAATGATCTTGAATAAAAGAGAAAAGCTACAGAAAACCACCATCAGCCACACACGACGGGGGAATGGGGGGGGGGGACACATCCCTACAGGTCCCAGTGCTGTGGGAAGGTCAAGTGACAAGGAGATGGTGAGATGTTTATGCCAATCACTCAACAACTCTGATGAAATGAACCAACCACCTGGAAAACAAACCAGTACAGTCTACCCAGGAGCCAAGAGCCACCACACACCTGCAGAAGAGACGCAGACTCCCAACAGTGGGAGCTGGGGGGTGACAGGGTACGAGACCCTGGTTTTGATATCCAGTTACACACACACACACACACCCTGAAAAGGTCTGCATGATAAAAATATCAGCAGTAGGTGGGCTAGAGATGGCTCCGTGGTTATATGTACAGCTCAACACCCTCATGGAGCAGAGACAAACGCCTGTAATGCCAGCTCAAGGATCCGACGCCCTCTTCTGGCCTCCTCGGGTACTTGCACCTATGCACATTCCCCATTCCCCATCCCCTCCTCCCCCAAACATAATTAAAATGGCAGGTACTGTAAGGTGTCCATGAACTACAACAGAGAGTGGCACACTTCTGCAGAGGTCCAGATAGTAGAATTTAGGCATGTAGGTCAAATGTGAGCTGAGTGCAATACGTAGTAAGTACAACCAAGCTTCCAAGTGTTTACTGATGAAATTACAAAGTACAGACGGATTCCCGAGAAAACAAGTGGTTTTCGGGCTGACAACAGCTCAGGGTTACTGTGCTGCGTGTGCTCACCAGCAATGCTGCCATAGCTCAGACCTTGTGACTCTGGAAACAGGCTCTCAACAGGATCGCAAGCATGGGATCTGTATGCAGATATTGATCTGAACAGATGCAGTTGCTGTAGAGCTCATCATGTTCTTTTTATGGGCCTGTTCTCTCAAGATGTCCAAAGAGCTCTCCCCACAAGCCTGGCTGTCCACAGTCCTAGGAGTGTCTCCTTCCCAGACCTTGGCTGTGCCAAACAGTCCTTGGTAACAAGACCCCTGAGGGCAGAGATTGAGTGATGAAGTGGTCACCCATGAACTTATGACCAACCTCCAGGAACAGTCCTGCTTCCAAGGCCCATCTCTATGTGTGTCTCCAATCATTAGTAACCACATGCTGGCCTCAACACCTTCCTCTTCTGAGACTCAACCATGGCCTTGGCTGGTGGGGCACACCCTTCCATTTCAAGGAGCAAGTAACTGTGTTCAAGAGTGCTACAGCCTCATGAGTCTTTCTATCAAAGTACTGGTCCAGATGGCAGTCTTGGAGCACACGCCCACCCCTCACAGCAAGGATTATAGTGTAGACCAACCTCTACATCACTGCCGAGGTGAGGACTCCCAACAGACACGGGCTTCTGCCAGAGTGGCAGCATGAGCTAGGAAATATTCCTGATCAGACCTTCCCATTTTATTCCTCCCCAGTAAGAGTGAACTTAATACAGTATAAGCTTCTCAAATAAGTGCTGCTCAGCCTTGAGTGGTAGTGCTTTACAATGAATTAATAGCATTACCAAGCATGTAGTAAGAACTAATTCTGAAAGTCATTCATTGCATTAATAATGGTGATTATAAGTGGTTTGTCTTGTTTTGGGAATCTTTCACTCTGGTCCAAGTTTAAGCCCTGGCAAGCGACCATGGTGAGCTGTACAATGGGTCAGATCACAATGTCCACCTTCTGCTTCTGACAATGTCCACAGAACCGTGACCCACCAAGCCTTTGACTCAGAAGCATGCTGTCTGTGGCACTGGCTCAGTAAAGCCGTCTTTCTGGCTCTTGACTCTTTTTTAAACCAAGTTTCTTCATTTATCTAGTCCTACCCCTTTCTGCTCCATGCACCCTGGCTGTCCCTCATCTTAGCAGGTTCCTCTCCCGTCTGCACCATCAGTTCTTTCCCAGCTTCTCCCAGCTCACAGGCTGTTCCAGAGGCTTAAACTTCCTTCTGATGCCTCAAATCAATGACTGAACAGCAGCAGCAGCAGCATCCTTAGCTTGCCAAGGGCCAAGGAGCTCACCAAGGCTACATACTGTCAAACCCACCCCACCCCACTCACACCCACACCAGGCTCACTGTCTGGTGCAAGCCCATGTCCTTCAGACACTTTGCTCCAGCAGCTACATGGCTAGTAAGTACGCTGCTTTGACAACCATTTCTGTCAGATCCTGATTTTCTGAGGAGGCTCCCGTGGTATGAGAGTCTTCCTTTAAATTTTTTAACTGTTCTGACCATTCTGCTTCCTCAAGTTGAGGATACTGTAACACCAACATATACTGTACTGCTCCCACACAGTAACGAAGTCTTGGATATTGAGCAAGACTTTACCATTTGAGGTAATCAATGACTGATGACACATTTAGCACTGCCTTAAAACCACAACGAAGTCCCCAATTTACACCACAAGTGTATCCACAGCACACACACACACAGGCTCAGAATGGCAGGGCCACTGTGTCTGTAGGACCTGCAGCATGGTGAGCACACATAAAAGCAACAGCTACTGTGCTACTGTTGACAAAGGAAATACATATTTGGTCTCTAGCCCCACTTCCTGGCACATGGCTCCTAAAAACCTTGGGGCCTTCAGAGAGATAAAACTGTTCTTTTCGTGTGCTACTACAAGATATGGGGTGTCTCCAAAGGCCCCCCCCAGAAAGGCCTGGAGCCCGGCTTGGCAGTATTGGGGTAGAGCATAGCAGGCGGCCTTCAGGCCGAACAGCAGCCATGGCCCTGAGGGAGGGGTAGGGCCTGGGTTCCTTCTTGCTTTGTTTTCTTTTAGTGCTCCCAGCCACCATGAGATACTCCGTTTTGTACCATCCTACATTTCTACCTGAGTACTCTGCTGTGTCACAGGCCCAAGGGCAGCAAGGACCAGGGACAGAGAATGAAACCTCAGAAGTTGTAAGCCAAGATAAACCTTTCTTCCTTGTAAGGTGGCAGTCTCAAAGTGTGGCCACAATAAAAAGTTGGCTAACACAGAGCACTGTGGGATGGTTATACCGGAGGCTCTGTGCTGCCCAGCACAGAGCTAACCACACAACGACCAGGTATGATCAGAAGGTTGAGAATGTCAGCTCTTCATCCGCATGCTTCCTTGTGTCCTTTGTAATGAGCCAGCAAACAAGGCGACTGCCCGGCCCTGCAAGCTGTCTCAGCAACTTAATCGAACCTGAACAGTGTAGTGGGAGCCTTGACCCAAAGCTGCTCAGTCAGGAGCGCAGGCCACAACCAGGGGTGCACAGCTGGCCTGTGATGTACGGGTCTACTGGGACTGAGCCCTCAGCTACAAGGTCTGTGTTCTCTCCAGGCAGATGGCATCAGAGCTCTATCTAATCACAACACACCCACCAGTGACCTATGCAGATCTGCTGTGAGAGCCCCATACCACTATGCCTGATGGCAGACACAGTGCTCTGTACTGTGCCTGAGGAGGAAAAGCTTGGTTATAACTCAGAATCAGCCACGGAATATACATACATTAGCTTCACAGTGGCCATGTTCCAATAAAACTTTATTTATGGGCAAAGCAATTTGAATTTCATATCATCTTCTCATGTCATGAAGTATTCTTGTGATTTTTTTTCCTCAACCACATAAAAATGTAAACGCCATTCTTAGCTCATGAGTCACACAAACCTAGGCAGTGCAGTTTGCCAGTCTCCAAGAGGCCCTGCCATGAGCATCTCACCAACTTGTTTGCTATGTAGAGATCCACAAGCCAGGGCCAGCAGCTAGGAACACGGGAAGCCAAACCTGACAACCTGAGTTCAATACCCCAGAACCCACATGGTCAAAGGAGACTCCCTAAATTGTCCATATGTGTGCTATGTGGACATCCTCACAACACACACACACACACACACACACACACACACACACACACACACACACACACTTATGCATAAATATAAAAACTTAATTTTTAAAAAAATGAGCAAGATACTGGGTGGTGATGGTGCACACCTTTAATCCCAGCACTCCAGAGGCAGAGGCAGGAGGATCTCTGTGAGTTCGAGGCCAGCCTGATCTACAGAGTGAGTTCCAGGACAGCCAGGGCTACACAGAGAAACCCTGTCTTGAAAAACCAAACAAACAAGGGCCAGGCATGGTGGCACACACCTTTAGTCCCAGTGCTCACAAGGCAGGGGCAGGCCGATGTCTGTGAGGCTGAAGCCAGCCTGGTCTAACTAATTCACTAGTTATAGTGAATTCCAGAACATCCAGAGACTGTCTTAAAAAAAAAAAAAAAACAACCAAACAAAAATCAACAAGCCAATTCTACACTTTTTAAGGGAAAGCTCAGAAACTAGGACAGTCTGCACTATTTTGTAAAAGAACAAAGTTGGAGGCCTCACACCAGCTGACTTCCAAGACTACAGTAAAACTACCGTGATCTAGACATGCATTGGCAAAAGCTGATCCATGACCACTGAGCAACCTAACACCCACCGACAGAACACCGACATCCAGCAGCCTCACTTCCCACAGTGCCTTCAAGATGCTCCAGTGGGGAGAACTGGACACACATGAGCAAAAGCACAAAGAATCCTAACCCTCCCAGGGAAACTAATAAGGACACTAAAGTCAACTCAAATTTTAAGGATTCTATAATTATTATAGAATGATAAGTATAAAGACTTTGTGATCTTGGGTTCTAGAAACACCAAACACGCAACTTCAGTCTTCTGACAAGAAGCTGAATGCAGAACATAAACCAACTCTGGGGCTGGGGTACAGCACTTGTCCAGTGTAAGCAGGCCCTTGGTTAGGTCCACACCACAAAACAACACATAAATAATCACCTCACAGCTCACAACAGTAAGAATACAAT